CTTTTCTTCATATTTGTGGTCATGGTCTTCTTCAGCTTCCTCCTGAACTACTTCTTTCTCCTGGTCACTATTCCAGACATACAAGTCCTCTTCAGTATCAGGCCAGGCTTCCTCGAGAACAGGACAGATTTCCTCCATAGCAGGCCAGATGTCCTCGATAGAATGCCAGGGTTCTTCCACATCAGGCCAGATGTCCACCATAGCAGGCCAGATGTCCTCGATAGAATGACAGGGTTCCTCAACATCAGGCCAGATGTCCTCCATAGCAGGCCAGATGTCCTTGATAGAATGACAGGGTTCCTCAACATCAGGCCAAATGTCCTCCATAGCAGGCCAGATGTCCTTGATAGAATAGCAGGGTTCCTCAACATCAGGCCAGATGTCCTCCATAGCAGGCCAGATGTCCTTGATAGAATGCCTGGGTTCCTCAACATCAGGCCAGATGTCCTCGACTTCAGGCCAGAGGTCCTCTACAACAGGCCAGATGTCCTTGATACAAGGCCAGACTTCCTCGGCATGAGGCCAGATGTCCTCGACATCAGGCCAGGTTTCTTCCTCATCAGGCCAGATGTCCTTGACTTTATGGCAGATGTCCTCGACATCAGGCCAGATGTCCTTGATATCAGGCCAGACTTCTTCCACAGGAGTGTAGGTCTCCTCAGTATCGGGCCATATCTCCTCCTGCCCTGGCTCTTCCCCCAGAATGGCTCTCGAGACTGCCTGTGAACCCAGACATCCTGTGGTTCCATTGATGTCATCACCAGCCTCACGGATTGTCAGCACATTCAAGACACTTTGTCCAGCGTCGTGATCCATCCTACCACCTTCTTGCTCTGGGTCAGGAAATCCAAGGTCCTGCTCTGCAACAGCAGACATGTCATGAATTTCCTGCCAATTTCCTGCCAATGAAGATCTTACTGAAGCTTCGAGCTTTGAAGGTGTTGGTGGGGATGAGGCGTTGTTAAGGTGACTACCACGAAGTAGAGAGAGGCTGTTGGCCTCAAGGACCTCCTTGGAGGCAATGAGAGCAGTAGGAAAGTTTTCCACTAGTCAGCAGATGGAGTTGGTTCTTGTAGAGTACCTATAAAAGAAGGGCTAGACAGCACCAGGTAGGAGCCTTCTGCTGAGGCCAGCCCCAAGAAGGCTGAGAACCAGGTATAAGGGGGCGGAGCATTGAGGAGTAATAATGGCCCCTCTCACACGTCACCAGAGCTGTAAGCTCATTGGCTGAGATATAGTGACTGATGTGTATTGTGTCCAATGAGCCATAAAGGTCCTTAAATTCTGGGGACTGCTCAGAATCACACCTTTTTCCCTGAGGCCTTACTGTCTTGGGATACCTTTTAAGGCGATAGGAACCCTGTCTTCTAAATATCACATTGTCAGTAAAATGATAGTGTATCAATATGAATGAGCTTGCCTGCACTGACTTCTATTTGACATGGTTATGGCAATATAGACAGAGTTATAAAACAGGTATAGAGGGGCAGAAGAGATGGATGGCTCAGAAGAGCACTTATTGCTCTTCTAGAGGATCGAGTTTCCATTCCCTACACCGACATGGTGGTTAGCAACATTTCTAACTCCAGTTCCAGGGCATCTGGTGTCTTCAGGTGTCCTTGGACATTGTACACAGATGATGTACAATCATGCACGCAAGAAATAGCACCTATGCACATATAAAATATGGATCTAAACTTTAATACCCAATGGTTGTATAGCTCAGGCTTCAGCAGTGGTAAAATAAAAGAGATAGAAAAAGCCAGATAGTAAAAAGTTGAAATGGTTACAATCAGAAAAAAAGGATTGAAAGTGAAAAACAATTAAACAGGACCTGGAAAGTGTTTTTTCTCAGTGTCAAAATCACATCAATCCTCCCCTAAATGCATAAAAAAAAGAGGACAAGCATGTTAAATGCAAAGGACAGTCTTCTTAAGATTACCTAACAAAACCAAGAATTTCTATTTCATTATTCTCTTTTAGTTTTCCTTTCCTAGAATTATCTTCTGCCATTATCCCATTGATCTCAAATCAGTGGTTCTCAACTTTCTTAATTCTTGGGCCTTTAATATAGTTTCTCAAATTGTGGGTATCCCCCAATCACAAAAATAGTTTTGTTGCTGCTCCATAACATTAATTGTTCTGCTGTTATGAATCTCAATATGAATATCTGTGTTTTCTGATGATATTAGGTGACCCCTGTGAAAGGGTCATTCAACCAAAGTGATCATGACCCACAGGTTGAGAACCACAGCCTTAAGTGGTCATACTCCTTACTCTCTTGTATGACCTAATTTTTATTTCTTTAGGGTTTGTGCAACATGGACCAGGAAAGAGAATGACAAAAGAGATAACTACTGTATTAGGCAAAACAGTGAACTGCTAGGTGTCCTGGTGCCAATCACTCTACGTCATGTTCATTGCAACGACTATGCATGAGGGTTCATAAACGGTCCCATGAAATTCATGATATATACTCAATATCCTCATTGTATGAATTTCTCCTTCTTTTCCCCTTGTTAATGTGTGGTGTCATAACTTCCTAATTATCATTATCACTAGAAACTAAGGGCTAAAAACTCTCTAAAATCTCTTGGTTTCTTCTCCTTTCTGATTGTGTGGCAGTAACTCTAATTGTGCATTTCCATAAGGTCCTTTTGTCCCTTCAGTAGAGTAACCCTTTCCTTTGCCTACTGTTCCACTTCCACGATGGCACCAAAATAGCCAGGTGGTAGCTGAAACTTCCTATTCAAAGTTTGTGCCTTAAAAGTCTTCCCCATAGGAATGAGAAAGATTCTAAAATGTCATAGATAGCAACACTATATGAGGATAGCCAGTTTGGTGTACTCCTCTCCACCACCCCCCTCATGTAAGTTTTTGCTACACACTGGATTTTGAAGGTACAGCACCAAATATCAGTTTCAGGTTTGGGACAGGAGTACAGAGCCATAGCTATACAGTGTTAAACATAGACTGCTGTTTTAGTTATCTTGTTCCATTTGATGAATGGAATCAAGTCAAATGTGATGGAGTCACTAACAACCACAAACATACCTTATTCAACTTGGATGTCTTCTAAGACCAGACTACTTTCCATTAAAACTGGAAAAGGAATTAATATATAGTCACTGACCTCCTTGTGCAGTGGGTCTGAAGGATCCTAATGCTATCATCCTTTAATACAGTGCCTCATGTATTGGCGCCCTCATCCCTTCAACCATCAAATTATTTCTGTTCCTACTTCATAAGTATAAGTTGCTACTTAACCATGTATCAGATCCTAAGCCCATCAGAAATAGGTGTTTTCTGATGGTCACAACCCACAGGTTGAGAACCACTGTTCTACTGCTTATGCCATAATATCCATAGTGAAGAAAGTAAATTAGTGTTCATGCACATTGTCTCTAGGGTGAAAAACAGTGAACCTAGGGAATAGTAATCACATTGTTGTATAGACACAAAAATCACTCTATCTTCCTGAGGAAGCCAGTTCTCTTAGTGGTTCAAGAAAGGCTTCAAGCTATGATGCTATCAACAGTGAAAAAGAATAATGCATATTGCAGACACCATTCCAATTGACAATGTACAGCCTGTCTGTGTCCAACTCCACAACATATGCAAGCATATAACACTAAGTCAGGGTACTTTAGCTTGAGAATATTTATGACATTTTGTTGGGTCAGTTATACACTGGTATGGTAATCTCCATAGGCACTGTTTCTATGTAGATCTAGAATATATAACCAGCATGACCTACTCCAAGGCTATTCAGGTATCAGGAGATGCATATGAATTCCCTTAGAGAGCAGGTAAGAATGACAAAATCAGTAACATGACAAATATTGCTTTTGCCCCTTAACTGAAGTAACCATAGGATGATTAACCATTCTGGGGTACTGGAGCCCAGAAACAAATTAGATTGATTTCTCATCATTTTCCAAACTTCCTTTGGTCTACAGGTCTCTGTCACAGGGGGTAAGGGAGTGTGTCTGTCAGCTTTGTATTCCTGTGATAAAATGCTCCAGATAAATATTTAATAAGGATTAAGGGTTGATTTTGACTTGTGGTTTCAATCCATGGTTTTGGCCCTGTTGTTTTGGGCCTGTGGTGACAGAGTAAATCGTGTTGAGGATATGTACTGGAGGAAACCAAGTTCACCTTAGTATGGCCAAAAGCAAAGTGTTAAAGTTTCAGAGGCTTTGGTTATATTGATTTTTGTTTTGTTATTAGATACTTGATTTTTAAAAATTATTTGCAAATGTGTGTGTTTGTGTGTGTGTGTGTGTGTGTGTGTGTGTGTCTGCCAGTCCCTATGTGTGATCATGCATATATATCCCAGATATCAAGCAAGTTTTCTGAGACAGGGTCTCTTACTTGCCTACAATCCAGTGAATAGGCTAGACTGGCTGACCAGTGAACCCTAGATTACAAGCACAAGCCATATAACCGGTATTTTTATGAGAGTTCTCAGGATCAAACTTAGAGTCTCAGGCTTTGCAAAGCAAATCCTTTTCATATTGAGCTATCCCCAGCCTTATGCTGGATTTTGATTAACTATACTTATTCTTGCTTTAATTTGAGCTTTCTTTAAATGTTTTTAATATCTTAAAATAGAAGGTTCAATAAATGTGCAGAATGATATTTTTTAACATAGGCACTTGCAGTGATGATCATTAATTTAAACATCACTTGACATACAATTGCTACATTTGTGTATATCATGTTTTGTTTTCATGTATATTAAAATGTTTTCTAATTTCCCTCCTGACTCTTCTCCTTGTCTCTTAATTATCTAAGTGTGTGTTATTTATTTGCAGACATCTGTTAGAAAATTAATAAATAGAATAAAAATGTTAAAAACAAAGCATCAACAAAACAACTCAGTCACAAATTGGGCTTTAGCTTTTAACAGAATTTTCATAAAAAACAATATAAAATATTATATTTTTATCCTAAATATCCTAAAAACTGTTCAACATCTTAGGAATCAGGGAAATGTAAACTTAAAAATCTGTTTTTTATTTTCTAACTCCAGTTAAAATTGCTGAAAAATGATTAAAAATCCAAAGACAACAAATACTGTTGAGGCTGTGGGGGAAAGAGCAGCCCTTATTCTCTGTTAGTGGGTATGTAAAATGATGTAGACATGATGGAAATCAGTGTGGATTTCTAAAAAGAGATTTGATTTATGGACAAACTTTAGTGTTCCTGGGCATATACCCAAAAGACTCTATATCCTCCAACAGAGATACTTGCTCATCTATGTTAATTGTTGCTTTATTCACAATATCCAAGAAATGGAAAAAATCTAAATATCCATTAACTTATGAGTGAATATTGAAAATGTGGTACCAACATACAATGAAATTTTATTGAACTACAGGTAAAAATGAAACTATAAAATTTCCAGGAAAATGGATGAAACTGGAAAAAAAAGGGTAAGCCAGGCCCAATAAGAACAAATGCTATATGTTGTATCTCATATG